CTGATTCATTCTCTGCTACCGTGCATCTTGTATTCCAGAAAACTCATTTCATTTTCTGCAGGCTACTGGTGCTTGACTAGGTGCTACCCTGAGGAAAGAATTGGCAAAAATAATTGGGAGCGAGGGACTAGGGAGTGCAAATTGTTAGATGTTTCTACTTCCTATGATTATTTTTGTTCTTCTAGAAAAAAGTTTCCAACAGTGAGAAGGAAATCATAATGTTACTTTCAAAGACCTAATTCTACATGTATTTGTGGTATTACGGTTCCTTAAACTGCTTACATTGAAATATGTTCTACTAGAGTAAATGGGTCTTGCACGTATACGTTTGTATAGGAAATGGATAAATCTATATTCACTAGGAAGCGGACTCTGGGGAAGTTAGCTCTTTTTTTTTTACTACAACTCCTAAGAATTCCACAGGCAACATGGGCAGAGACTATCCTGGCAGAGAGGTTTTGGGTGGTGTGTTCCAAAGCAAATTTTAAAGCTCTGATACAAATTTCGTTGTCTACTACAATATAGCTGCCTTGTGACCTGTTGTGGGTTTTGCCGTGATAGTGGGATGAACATAGGGATGTCATCTTCACTCGTTTCCTGGCATTCATCTCAGAATTCTCTCACTGGCAGGGATGATGTTTTATGTAAAACTGTCCAATTTATTTTTTAAAACATCGTATTGATGCATCCATCATTTTAAAAAGTGGGTGAATTGCTCAAAACCGATTGCTGCTTTCTTTAAAAATCTGAACCAAGATGAGTTGTTTGCATCTTTCATAGCAGTCCTGCTTGCATGTGCCCCGTGTGTCTGTGTGCTTTGGTTCTGGAAGAGAAAAGAGAACGGAGATGTTCTGTGCAAGTGACAGAAACTTTGAGGGAGAAGAAAGAGCTCTTGCTGATCCTTCTCAGTTGGAGGGAAGGACTATTGAGGTGTCTTATGAGTGAGAATGAGAAATGTAACAAGTATTTTTTTTCCACCCTTAGATGTGTATATTAAAATGGTGGCTAAAAGATAATGTTTTTTTGTGAAAGGGAAGTATTATTTTTATTAATATATTTTTCCAAACTGTGGGCTGCATTAAATTAAGCACCATGTGCTCTTTCCATATACCTGGAGTAGAGATGGGAGTATTCATATTTGTATATGAACACAAATACCCCCCCACAGGAGGACATAACGAGGGTCCAGCCCCCTGAAGCTGGATCATCCACTCACCTTCTGCTGTTGCTGTGAGCTCCTCGCTCCCTTCCTATCACTCCGGAGCTCGCGGTCTGCAATCAAAAAGGTTAAGAACCAGTGCTCTAGAGCTCGCTGTCAACTAGCCGCTCCTGGCAGGAGGTAGGACAATGATAGCCTCCCTGCCAGTTCGAAGAGTGGCTGGCCGACTGTGAGCTCTGGAGCGATAGGAAGGGTGTGCGGAGGCCGTGACAGCAGCAGAAGAACGAGAGGACAGTCTGGCCCAGGGGTGGGCAAAATGCAGCGCTCCAGATGTTGCTGAACTACAACTCCCACTTGCAGTTCAGGAACATCTGGAGGGCTGCACTTTGCCCAGGTCTGGTCTGGCCCCAGGGGACTGGACTCTCGTTATGTTCACCTCTGCAGGTGTTCCATCTCTAATCTGAAGTATTGTACAAAGCTTTGGGTGCCATATTTGAAGGAGTATATAAATTGGAATATGGGCAAGAGGAAGGCATCCAGAAAGCCGAGGGGTGCGCGGTAGCCAAGTTCTATTAAAGCTGGAAGGCCTGAGCATGTTTAGCTGGGAGAAGAGGGATGCTATGCTAGCTGCCTCCTGTGATAAAAGTGTAAATTGTTGATTCAGGGGGCAGGATTAAAAGCAACGTGTAGTAGTTGACACAGAAGCAGATTTCAGCTAAACAATAGATGGGTTTGCCTCGGCAGGAGAGTTCTCTTTTTAAGAAGCCATGTGACCCTTTCTCAGGGATGTTGTACACAGTTGTCTTCTGCATGGTAGACCTTATACTGAGCTGTCAGATGGGCTAAATGACGTTGAAGCAGCCTTCTGACTCAGAGGACAGACACATGCCTAGTCCTTGCTTTCTGTTTCTAACTGGGTTTTTTTGTCTCTCCTAATCAAGGTCCACCTGATAACACTACAGTGGTACCCACATCGTCAACTTCTCATTATGTGCTTTCGGTATGTCTGTGTCTTTGGGGATTCCTTTTTGGAGGTGAGATGAGGGGGTGAGAGTGGGGAGGCATCTAGTAATGCCTGAAGCCCCCATTTCCCCCAGCCTAAGGGATGGATAGCAGTTACTCTGGAAGCCAGGTGTGGGAGGATTATGGCATATATATAGTTTATAGCTCTGCAAAACATTTCTGTGTCAGAAAAAGGGAATTTTGATCCACAAAAAGTCATACTGGAACAAATTTGTTAGGCTTTAATATATCATATTATTTTCTAGTTTTGTTCTTTTTCTCTGTAATTTTGCCAGGGCACTGAGATAGGCTAACGCAGCTTGTTTTCTGAAAACAGCTGTCCCTTACTGGGGGCAGAAAGGAAAGTTACATTTTTGTGGACTTCATCTCCCAGAATTTCCAACCTGGCCACACTGACTGGCTAAATATGGAGGTGATGGTCATAAAAAGTAACTTTTCCAAGCTCTGGGAGGCAGGGCTATTGAAACATTTGCCTTTTGTGGTAAACTGGGCATGCTGCATGTAACCCATATTGCCACTATGAGACAAAATTATACAACAGACACATAATGCAGGAAATGGCCCACGATGGGAAATGGATGGCTTTGGTCTCTTCCCTCTGCTTGATCATTTGATGTTCTGTTGTAGTGGCAGCTGAAAGTCAACAAATTGTTTGGGGGCTTTTGGGACTTGTAGTCAGCCGTCCCCTCCTTTTCTGAACCCTGCCTGACTGCAGCAATGGCAGTGAAGAGTTGAGTTTGCACATTTATAATGGTGATAAAAACAAGATGAAGGGCTAAAATCTAGCTCACACTGAAAGTCTGCTGAAGTTCCATAGCTGGTATCTTGTTGCTATACTTGTACAGTGGTGCCCCACTTGATGATTACCTCGTTAGACAAGGAAGCCGCTTAATGATGAAGTTTTTGCGATCGCTTTTGCGATCGCAAAACAATGTTTTAATTGGGAAAAATCGCTTCACGATGATCGGTTCCCTGCTTCAGGAACCGATTTTTTACTTAACGACGATCAAAACAGCTGATCATCGGGCTTTCAAAATGGCTCCCCACTGTGTAAAATGGCTCCCCGCTGTGTTTTAGGACAGATTCCTCGCTTTACAGGCGCTGGAACATATCTGCCCTATGGAGGATCTTCGCTGGACACTGAGGTATTTTGCCCATTGAAACGCATTGAACCGTTTTTCAATGCATTTCAATGGGATTTTTACTTTCGCTTGGCAACGATTTCGTTCTACAGCGATTTTGCTGGGACGGATTATCCTCGTCAAGTGAGGCACCACTGTAGTCACTAGTTTGCATCAAGTCTGTAGCTGGCATCTGGTGGCCACCAGTTTGCTTGTCAAAACTCATTCAGTCACACAAGCGAGCCAAGCAGTTAATTTTCCATACATTCCAATGACCAATATTGTGTCTCTTGAATTTATTTGGCACTACAGGTGCCAAAAAGCTGAAGGCATAAGTAGGCTTCATGTTGTATCAATATTTCCAGTGTTGAGTCTCATGCTGTTCACCAGCGAGTGACCATGTTTTCCACCATTTCTTTTCTCTCCTCACAATGGCAGGGATCGGAACTAGCAGCAGCTATCGCTGTACCTTGCGTCTTTGGAGGGCTCATTCTGATTGGTCTTCTGGTTTTCATGGGACTCAAAATTCGTGAGAAGCGCCAGACTGAAGGCACCTACCGGCCAAGCAATGAGGAACAGGCAGGTGCCCGGGTGGAGACAAGCACCAACCTCAAGCTGCCCCCTGAGGAGCGACTCATTTGAGATGGGAACATGGCTCCACTCTTCGGTTCCAACCTGGAAAGAGCTACTCAATGCAATGAACTAAAAGAGAACATGAAAACAGGCCCCTTGTGCTCAGCCTTGAGGCTCCAAATAGATATTGCTGCACATGCCTTGCAGGTTGGCTGCGAAGTAGAAAGATTCTCAATGTGGTAATAGAGGCTTCAAGGACCTCTGGGAGATAAAATGAGTTGGGAATGGATCATGGCAGATGGTTTCCAGTGGATCTAGTGTCCTGGTGCAAACACAGAAAAAGGGCTTGCCTCCCCTTTACGTGACGCCAATGGCCCAGTTCTGTGCTGTTCAAAAGGACAGAGTCTCCAGTCTGTAAAGAGGAGCGGATGGGATTACCGCTGAAGCTGACACAATTTCTTGTGTTTCCTGAAGAGGAACGGAAGAGCATGTTGTGCTGCCTTTTAAGGGTCCTGGCCTGTGGGTTCAGGGGTTTGCTTCCCTTTTAATTTTTTTACAAAAAAATGTGTGTATCACACTGTGCCTTTTAATTATGCCACTATTTAATAAAAGACATGTCTTCCTTCTCTGCTGAGATTCAGTGAGAAAAGGAAGTGGCACTTGTGCAGAGGGGGAGGTGATCACTCGTCCTCTTGCGTGGAAATTAACTCTGAAGCATTTCAGATGAACAAAAGGGGGAAAAAAACACCCGCTTCTGAAACCCAACAATTAAAGCAACGTTAGTTTTGAATTCGTCCAAACGAAATCAAGCTTGAGTCCCAGTCTTCACATAAACATGGAACCAAAGCAGGGAACATTTTTTGTAATCATCACCACCATCATACTTTTTTTATAGTGTTGATTCCAAGATCTGTCTTCTGTGGACAGAAACATTTGGTGCCTCCCATTTACAGGCATTTCCCACATTGCAGGGAATCCTAATCATCAGAATCTCCATCCTTCTCTAGGAGAGTTTCAGGTGGCTGGTAGGTTACTATGAGAAGAGTGGGGGAGCCTGAAACTCACAAATAGAGGGATGGCCATGGTAAATCACTTGTTAAAATATCCCCCTGCATACCTTTAAAACCCTGTTAGAGTCACAACAAGTGAGAAAGGATTTGACAGCACAGAGCCACAACCATAGGCAGGCACTAGGTGGCATCCCAGTACAGCACAATTAGTTCAAGATGCGCTTGGGCCACCTTCAAATTTGAATAAGCACAGTCATGCAACACTGAAAACACCTAGCATTGCAGCAGTTTCAGTTCTCGCGACTCTGAATGAGTTATATAAAAGAGCCTCGTGGCGCAGTGGTTAAATTGCTGTACTGCAGCCGAAACTGTGCTCATGACCTGGGATTCAATCCCAGGTAGCCGGCTCAAGGTTGACTCAGCCTTCCATCCTTCCAAGGTTGGTAAAATGAGAACCCAGCTCGCTGGGGTGGAGGGGCAATGTGTAGCCTGCATCATTCACTTGTAAACCACCCAGAGGGTGCTTGAAGCACTATGGGGCAGTCTATAAGCAGCACGCTTTTTGCTTTTATTTTTCTTTCAGAAGGCTTAACTCCAGCTTTTCAATCGTTTGGACCATGATCGTGGCTAATAATAATAATCATCTTAGAATGGCAGAGTAGGAAGGGACCCTCAAGGGACCATCCAGTCCAGCCCCTGTCAAAGGAGGCCCAGTGGGGAACTGAAGTCCCAACCTCTGGCTCTGCAGCCAGAGACCTCGGCCCCTGGGCTCTCCAGCAGTTCTTGTTTTTCCCCACCTTCCTTTTTTTCCCTTTAAGGGAGGGGGGGGAAGCTGCAGGTTTTCTTGGGATAAACTAATACCATCCAAAATAGTAACATAATCCAGATGAAAATGTTTTAAAATGACATCCCTCTTACAATTCAGGGGACATTCTCAATAACACTCATTACATTGATGCACAGTAGGTCTGATATTCCTCCCCCCCAAAAAATGGCTCAGTCTGTGCAGAAGAATTCCCCAGGGTAGCCTTCCTTAACTTAGTGCCTCTCCTACCTATTGGACCACAACTCCTGTTTTGCCCATGATCAAGCAGGCTGAGCCTGCTGAGAGTTGTAATCCAGCCCATTAGGTCAGGGCAGGTTAAGGATGGCCAGCTTCCATTCAGTTTCATTCTGCCAAATCTGCTCTTTTTCAGAGCTTGGGGATTTGTTCTGAAGTTATAAATTTGTGTACATAATTTCACCTCTCATCCAACTCTACTTTCCCCTCCTAACACAGGTAGGATATTCTGCCCAACCAAGCCTGACCGCTCCACACGTTCAAACCCACCCATAAGCTCAAACATAGGTTGCAGAAAAAACAGGACAGGTCGCAGAAATCCTCCCACTACTAATCACAAAAGGACAAGCTTGTCAGATGAGATTAAAGGTGCATCTACAACAGCTATTGGCTGCTAGCATTAGCCAACCAGTTGCTTCCAGAAAAAGCTCAAAAGCAGGGCTTAAGGGCAATAGCCTTCTCTAATCTTCCAGCTCTCTCCTCCACCACCAGGAACCAGGGTTTTCGAGGTATCCTGCCTCTCCTTCTTTAGCTTCATCTGCTATGGCTTGACAGCCATTGCTGCTCACTGATGCTGGGTTGCAGTTCCTAAACAGCTGATAATCTTCCAGCTCTCTCCTCCACCACCAGAAACCAGGGTTTCCGAGGTATCCTGCCTCTCGGTCTTTAGATCCAGCTGCTATGGCTTGACAGGCACTGCAGTTCCTAAACAGCTGAAAACTCCTTTGGCCAGAACTGGTGGCCTGAGTGGAGTTCCCCGAATGCCAAGCTGTCCTTTTCCCACTTTGTGGATCCTTTTCCAAAGAGGAAACCTTGAATCGAGCCATGATGTGAAGTCTACAGCCTTGTGAACCATGTCTACTTGGGGCGGCTTACAACATGATCCTCACTCATGCTGGGTTGCAGTTCCTAAACAGCTGCAAACTCCTTTGGCCAGAACTGGTGGCCTGAGTGGAGTTCCCTGAATGCCAAGCTGTCCTTTTCCCACCTTGTGGATCCTTTTCCAAAGAGGAAGCCTTGGATCGGGGCATGATGTGAAGTCTACAGCCTTGTGGTGAAGCCATTTTCTTGGCCACGTCCCCAGCCCAAAGGGCCATTTCCCTGTATGAGATGCACTACACCCGATCAGCAAATCATGCAGACCCCTAAGCGGTCTTTCCATCTCCTGGAGCAGTGCATTCACACCTTTTTTTCCAGAGTTACCTATGTTAGTTTATACCCTTTTGTCCCAGAACTAAAGCTGTGCAAATTGAGAGAGAGAATTGTACCTTCTGAGAAGTGATAGAAGACCCCCACCTGTGAGCTATCCTTTCATCAAGGAACTTACAGATTAACCTTAGACCGCCTTTCTTCCAAGAGTTACTGGCACTACTGCTTTGGTCAGAGGGCTGATGACCCCACCTGTGAGCTATCCTTTCATCAAGGAACTTGCAGATTAACCTTAGACTGCCTTTCTTCCGAGAGTTACTGGCACTCCTGCTTTGGTCAGAGGGCTGCTTAGCTGATCATCTTGCAGGATGAGAGGCAGCACACAAAGGAGCTATCCTTACAGCAACTGCTGATACTCTTCATCCTCCTCCATGAATCTATGTTAACCCTTCTAATTTAAGGCACAATAATAGCTGACGACACGTCTTGGTAGTTTCAGTTGACATTCTTTGTTTTTATTTATGTTCATTCCTGAATAGTAGCTGATTCACACACACAAACACACACATGCAGACTCATCACCTGATGGTATAGCCATCAAAAGATGAAGATGCATCTGTGAATCAGCCTGGTGATTGCTCCTCATTCTTACATTGCATGCATGCCCTGATAGGGTTTTTACGTAATTCCCACATTGGGTGAAAATAGCTAAGAAACAAGCTTTCTGTGCTTAGTTGAGGAAAGAAGCTTGCCTAGTGCAGTAAATTCATCTGAATACATGAGCTGCCTCCTAATTTGGGGTGGGGGAACACCTGCCAGCTGAATACAACAGCAAGGAAGCAGCCCTACCCTTTAAGCTATTAATGGAAGCCACTTCTGCTTCTATCCATCACAATTTGGCTTGGAGAGACAGAGGGCTTCCACCAGAGCTTTTCAAAGGTGCCCCACAGCTCCAGAGGAGGGACTTACAACAAATTTTCCACTGGTTACAGAAGCTACACGTTCAGTTCCAAAAGCTAAACTTAGGAAGTCACTGCCTGTATTATCTTTTAGGCCTCAAATCTTTTCTTGAGCTCTGATACCCTGGGCATGGATCTGGACTTCAAGGGGGACTGTGCGTTGGTGACCTGCCCAAGGACAGGGAAGGTCTCCTTGGGTGTGACAACAGGGTTTCCATTGACTTTCGACCCGAATGATAGCACAGGTGATGGAGTGTTTGAGCAACTGGTGGCTGGTGGCTCTGCTTTCGTGGTGGGGATGGCTGGAGGGGGATCATGGACCTGGACAACCCCCGTTTCCTCCCCAGATGCCATATCAGTGCCACATTCTGTTCTGTTGGCAGTAGGGATGGCAGTCTCATGATCTACCTTTAGGGTCCATGACACTTGTGGTTGCTCACAACTAGCAGGTTCAGCCATCTCTTCCTTCTCCTCCTCCTCCTGCAGCAAGGGAACTATTGCCTTCTTGGGACAAGCACTTTCTTGGGGCTCCAGGTTTCTGCAGTCCTGCATGACATTGCTTTGGTCTACAGGTGTGGTGGTGGTGGGCAGCAAAGCACTCTGCATAGTCTCTTGCTCCAGAGAGCTCAAGGGCATCTTCTCCTCAGATAAGAAGTCCCCATCATCTTGTTCCTCAGACAGAGGTTCATAGAGGGTCTCTCTGCTGGTCCTCAGCTGCAAGAGACAAGAGAGTTAGTAAAGGAGGTGGAGAACATCTACTCTGCCAGATGTTTTGGGCAACAATCCCCCAACTGCATCTGGGCACCTTTGATGGGTGAACAGGTACCTGAAATCAGAGACCTTACCTTAGTATAGAAATTCCTTTCCTCTAAGTTACAGAAGTCCAGGCTGCGGGTGGAGTAGAGTGGCTGTCCTGCTTGGTTAGGTTCCAGAAAGTTTAGGGTCTCAAAGATTTCACCTAAGAGATCAAGACCACCAGGGTCTAAGAAGCCTGGGTGTAGATTTTCACTGCCATCTGGCTCTGAGCAGCAATCGAGTGAGGCCATGCTAGATGAGGTGGAGACATCCCTGAGAAAATAGGTGTATTTCACATGTGAAATGTAAGCAGTCGTACAAGCAGTGCAAGTGGATGCACTGAACTTTCAAAAAGCATTGCATCTCACATTGAAAACAGCACATGAAACAACACAGGAAACAAGCATGGGAGCACAGCGCACCTGTTGCTAAATGCTCAGTAGCCAGAGCTTGGAAGTTACTTTTTTGAATTATACATTCCATTATTCTCCAGCCCCTGGCTCTGCTGGCTTAGGGTTTCTGGTAACAAACAGAAAGCCAACATCTGGCCGTATACAGGCCTGGAACTGAGACACCATCCAAGGCGACTATTCCTCTCCCTCCTTTGTTATGATGCTTTATGAAAAAGCCCTGCAACCAACGTAACAGCAGATTCTCAAATGAGCATGTTCCTTTCCAAGGCTGGCTCCATCCTTAACTGGAACGTCAGGCAGGATGTTGGAGGGCAAGGCTGTGTGTGCCACCTAAATTAGCTTGCTACTCTCCGGTGCAGCGGAGGTGGATCCTGTCCCGTCACCAGTGCCCAAGAGAGACTCTGCTGCCTGTGCAGTTGGCTTCTGCACATATCGTTCAGCAGTGCTATCTGGTTTTGGCCTCAAAGTCAACAAAGTCGGTGAATTTACATTGATGACTTAATGGGCCAGACTCAAGGGACACCTCAGCCACTTGCGGAGAGTTAACAAGCTACCTGCACAGCAAGTGAGCTGCATCATCAAATTAATTTTGGGTGCAGCCAGTCCATAAAAGTTTGTGAAGACATGTTCTTTCTCCTCCCATTGCCTTCATTTTTTCATGAGCTCTATATGTGTCTCTTGTGGGAGGAGGGGAGGGGAACTTCCAGAATGAAGTCATCAGACCTAAAGGTGAGCAGGGCTGAGCTGTGTTTCCAACATAAGGAATTTTTGCAGCCATAGAATGCCCAACTTCTGCATTGTCATAATTCAAAAGAAGCTTCTTAGTTGATGTGTATTAGCCATGATGAGGGCATGGCTTTCTTTGTTAAAGGTAGATGTCCCCTTAAGTACAGTAGTTAGGTATTTCTATGGTCTGTCCTCTTCCATTTATCTCTGGGGCACCTACCTGGGATAAGTAGCCTGTAGTAATTGGTTCTCTAATTAATTGTTGCTTCGCATAGTTGTTGCTTCGACACACCTCCTACTATTTCTGGGATGACTGGATTTTTGGCGTCACTTTATCAACTAGGTGCTTCCCAAGAGAAGGCTCCTATCAATACCCATCACGATTTGTTGCTGATCGGCACAAGGAATTGCCCTGCGTAGCACTATACACTAAATGTACATGGCAAAATTACCTCTAGGTAGCTACGTATGCCCCCAACTCTTGCTCCTTTAAAAAAAGAAAGAGTAGCACTAAACTGATTTGTACTGGTAGAGAGTGTGCAAAAACTAAAAAAAGAGTGTTCCTAACTTTCCCATAAAGAAGAATGTAAAGAAAACAAAGGAGATAGGGGGAGAGGGAGAGAGAGAGAGAGAGAACAACAGGATGACTAGGCCCTGTAGATGACCTGCAAAAAAGGAGCACAAACCCTTGAAGACCACCGTAATTGGCCACCAAGCAGTTCGTTGCCACCAAGACTTACACAATTTCCCCCATGCCTGGATAAATCAGCAGTAGGGTTTTGGCCATTGATTTATTCTTCCTTTTTTTACTGCCATGGAGATTGAAGGAATTGCTTGTGGGATTTTTGCATCAAATGCCAAAATAACTGGGTCAGCTTTGGTTACTATTTGACCACCATGAACTCACAGGGTCACTTTAAGCCAATCGCACGCTCTACATCTGACCTACCTCTCACATAGTTGCAGAGATAAAGGAAGGGGGCAACGAACCATATACGCTCATCAACAGAAAGGAGGATATAAATGTAAATAAGTGTAAGTACCATAACTTTAGGGTAGAGGTGACAGGCTGGCACATCTTATTTGTTATCACTACTTTTTCTGCCCTCCCAATGTAGGAAAGCATTCATGTATTTCATGACATGGGCCCTGTGGCTCATAAAGGTTCATCCAATATGTTTGTTTTTAAAACCTGAAACACCTTTTTGGAAAGATCTAAACCTGACTCCTTCTCAGAAGAAGGACCAAGGGAATATTCTGTTTCGATATCACCTTTTTAAAATTAAATAATAATTATTATGGAAAACGGATGGATTCTGCAGTAGACACGCTAGTCTCTAAGGTGGCTCACGGGCTCTGTTCTTTTTTTTCTTTTTTGCCACAGGAGATGTAGACAGATGCCACTCTAGAATGTATTATTTCACTAAGCCAAGGTGTCACCCAATCTGGAACCCTCTGGAGTCTGTTCAGTGCCACAGCAAGTAGGGAAAGAATACATTAAGCACAACAAAAGGCACACTGTTGGGCATTTTTGAAAGAGCAGAGAACGTCAACCATCCATTGGTGTTGTTTTAACCATTTCCCAGTCCAGGTCCTGAGAGGGCACTTCTAACTTTACGTCACCTTCTTCTCTGCCTCTTCACTTGTAAATCTAAATTCTGAGTCCAACAGGAGTTGAGTGGGAAGTCCCTCATCCTGCAGAGGTGGGGCTGAGTTGTCCCCCTGCTTGGAGAGCCACATGTCAGGTCCCAAAGCCTTCCCTGACCAGCCCTGGCAAACACACAGGATGCATTCAACAGAGCAGCAGAGTGGTGAAGGACAAAAGCGAGTGGTGTGTTGCTGTGGCCCACTTGCTTGGCACGCCTCACCTTGGAGCATCCAGTTCGGTCCTGCTGCTCTGCCTCTGTGGTCGCCGGGGGCGAGACTGTTAAAAAAAAAAGACAGACAAAACTTAAGGCAAGCCATGCAATGACATGACAGCAGTAAGGGGCCTGCTGCTCTCTGGCTGCCCAGAATGAGGATGCTGTGACATTCCACACTTATAATTCCCCTTTTTAATTAGAGGCAACTGTGTACAGGTACATAAGCAAAGGGGGAGGCGCAAGGCACTTGGTGTGTTTCCAGAGGGAGGATTCTGAGCACTACCAATCCTAAGACACTGAGCAGTGAGTGATTCCATCTGTTCCTCCTTAATAGATTTTCTGTGGTATGAAAACAGCAAGAATTAAAGGCAAAACCCAGGAGGATTACAAATGGAGGACACTAATGTCTGGAATCAGCATCCACAATCCAAAGTTGAGGCGAAATGAAGCCTCTTCTGGAACAATCGGCAAACTCTCAAGGTATCAAGCCTGCATTAACTGTTGCTCTTCACAATCCTGCTTTCTGTACCAACAAAAACTCAATTATGTCACTTCCTCCTCTATAAACTGTTATTTCTGTGAAGAAGAACATCCAGGCCATTTGTATACACAGAAGATGCTCTTCCTTTGGCCCTTTCCTGCTGCAGTCCTCAGGAAGCACGCCTGGTGACCCGCAGGATTGGGCTATGGCTAGTGAGGAAGCTGTGACCCAACATCTGCACACTGGGCACATCTCGTGAGCATCCGGCTTGTCCATTGTGTGCTGGACTCTGCAGACTGGCTCAACCAGCACGCGACTGATCACAGTGGCTTCAGGATTCAGGGAACTTTATTTAAAAAAAAGGAACTTTTCAAAGTTCAGGCACATATTTATTTATTTATTTATTCATTCATTCATTCATTCATGCATTCATTTAAAATAATGTTCTGGTCTCACACTTCACAATGATGAGCTGCTGCAAGCTGCACAGTAACAAGTTAGTACATCTTTTGTCCACTGTTTGATTATTATGATGTCCCTACCTAGCACTTTGGCCTCCCTCTTCCCAATCAGTCAGAGAGAAAAAAACCAACAAACAACCTTGAGTGATGGTGAAGTCCCAACTTGTTATGAACTATGGTCGTTCTGAAGTCACACACACACATACCTACCTACCTACCTACCTACCTTCCCAAAGTGCTGGGTGATGGGCAACCGGTTTTGCAAGGTCTCAGACTGTTTACTCCTGGTGGGCATGATGGGACTGGAGATGTGATCACAGTTCAAAGAATAAACTCGCTTCCGATGCTCGTCTACACTGGACTCCTAGAGGAGATTCACATGAGGTGGAAGATTAAGTTCTCCTACCTACCTACCTACCTACCTACCTTCCCAAAGTGCTGGGTGATGGGCAACCGGTTTTGCAAGGTCTCAGACTGTTTACTCCTGGTGGGCATGATGGGACTGGAGATGTGATCACAGTTCAAAGAATAAACTCGCTTCCGATGCTCGTCTACACTGGACTCCTAGAGGAGATTCACATGAGGTGGAAGATTAAGTTCTCCTCCCATTCCCATTGCAATTTTTCCCTTGCTGAATTGTCAGGCAAGACAATGACCATTCCTAAAAAAATCTCAGATATATGATGGACCAAGCAGGTAGGGAAAAATGAGGTCAGGTAAAGAAGTCAAGTCCATGTGCATATGTCAACACACAATATCATATTGTAATGATGGTCACAGAGGTAAATGGCCAGAAAAAGAAGTAAGCTGGCACAAGTTATTGGCATGCCATTCATTTGTTTGTTTGTTCGTTCATTCTTTGATTACATTTTGATTCTGCTGTTTCTCCAAGAATATATGTACGGTATGTATTTTATGAGTGCCTTGAGATCCCCTAACTATATTCTGGTACAAAATATGTAACCTTAGAGTTTAAGAATTCTGAGTGCAGAAAATAGGCTTGAGTTTTGGAACTGGACTGCACTCCAATTTCCACAATACAATCCACTCGTGAATACCATGCACCTAATAAACCCAGATGCTTAGGCAAAGCTAATGTTCATGAAAGAAAGATATATTTCAGTTTTTTTTAAAAAAAATATCTTTTTCACCATTACACATATAGTTCACTGCATTATCAGTGTAGTCCTTAAGATATTCTTTAACATTTCTGTAGCCACTCACACAGTTAGGCTTTAAGAACAAGAGGTGGGACAGCACCCGTTGAATAGACCAGCAGTTCTCAATCTTTCATACTTATTGCCTGTCAAAAAACCTTGATTTCACCAAACCAACAAAACATGTCTTTCCTCCATTAAGAATGACTTGTTAATGTGTAAAGGGATTCTGCAATGATGGTAACTTTTAAGCACTTTAAAATTGGTATATTATTAATCAGAAAAAGCACAAACAAAAATAATAATCCTATGAAATTGTATCCCATCTAGACTACTTCTGCGTTCCACTAGTGATATATATACCATTGGCTGAGAACAGCCCTACAGTTGATGGCGAGTGGTGTTATCCAAGGAAGTTGTCATTGTTGCTGAAACCTACAGTGTACTTATGGGATAAATCACCCCCTTTAAGAATGAAATCAGAAATGGACTGGCATCCACAGAGAGCCACTGAGAAAGAAGAGGAAGCTGTTAGCTTGCCTGGGGAAATTCAAAGATTTGAATATAGAAATATTTGAATATAGAAAACTTGGCCAAAAAATAAACAAACAAAATACCTAAGGGAGCAACCCTCCCCCAGAAGCCTAATGAACACTGAGCTATGCAATACAGAGAGCCAGTTAAATTTCTGATATCTTACAGTGACTCACCCTAACCTTATACCCTCCCGATGTGTCAGTCATGCTGGAGGCCCCATCTTCCCCAGTTAAGAAGTTGCAGTCAGCTACAAATGGAAGACATCTGGTTGAGGAAGGCTGGTTAATAGTTTTATGGGGGAGGCCAGGGCAGACATAACCGACCCTTCCCATGAGGAGGCAAGGACATACCACAACATTTCATTGTGTCCCTAGAAGAGAGTGTAAAACTCACAAGCTGCAGCCACATAGTTTCCCTCCTGCCTCTACAGGGTAGCATATTATGAGGAAAAGTTTGAAACCAGAGGGTGGAGGAGTCTACCTTTTCCATCAGACGGCTTCGCATATTCTTCAGCCCCATTTTGGCATGGCCTTTGGCCTATGTGAGGAGGAGAAGAGGTGGAGAAGACATAAAGCATTCAAAGCAATTTCAAGATGCAAAAAAGTTATGTATGCACCATAATTTTCCATGTATAAGACTATACTTTTGTCTAAAATCTTTAGACTAAAAATTGAGGGTCGTCTTATACACGGAAGTAAGCTGAGGAGAGAACAAAAACAAGTGGAGGGGAAAGCAGGGATCAAAGCAATTCTGCAGCACTTTTATCCCTTTCCCCCTACACTTGCTAAGCCCCAGTTAGATTTCTTAATTTTGGATTAGAAAAGTGGGGGGCGTCTTATACATGGGTGTGTGTTATACACAGAAAAATACGGTACATATATGCATAAATATACACATATAGAAACATAGTTGTACACAAACATGCACATACACAGACCCATGTAAGATATATGTAGATAGATTCAATTTGATCAATTAAGTCCAATTTACAGCTCCTATAGGTTCCGATGCATCTCTGCAGGTGCCTGGAAAACAGCTGCTCTCCCTTCTTCCTTTGGCACATTTTCAGATCAAAAGAAGAAGGGAAAACCAGTCTGCACGGCAGCTTTGCACTTGGAAATGCCCAGTAAAGAAGGAGAGAAATCACACAAATGCCTTACATATTGGTATATGCTCCGGACAGCAGGATTGGCCTTGTTTTTCACTGTAGTCAGCAGGGCTCCTCCACCTTTCTGGGAAAGGAAAAAAACCACAGGCCTATCAGCTGGGAACAGCACACTCAAATTACATGCCACACAAATGAAGAGGCACAATGAAAGTGACACAGATGAAGAAAGTAATCCAGAAAATAGCCCCTATGGAGAAAGAATGGGGGAGTAAAGAATGCCAGGCGCCAAGGGAGGACCAAAAGGAAACAGTTCATGGGAAAGGAAGCTAACCTAGAATGCCTGAACTCCATTCTCTGCCATGCCCAGCACACTGCCAGCCTGTAAAGCAGCTTCCGGAATAAAGAATGAAGAGACATCCCTTCAGTACAATTGTACTGTTTTGATGATGACCCTGAGCTTTGCCCTGGCTCAAACGTACCTTCTCAAGCTTTGTCCAAGAGCCCATGGATCTCTCTCACTCCTATCCTTAGCCCATTTGGATCCATTGAACAATGAGGGGGGTACAGGGATAACTGATCCCCTGCTCCCAAGTTAAATTCCTACAGCTCTTAAATGCCCCCCCTCTTGAGAATTAGGGAATACAAAGTGTGGTGACATCTCCTTATGAGTAAACTAATTGAGGGTGTCTCCGTCTGCTGCTTCATTGCAGGATATGTGTGGACTGGCCAAGCTTCACATGGTGGCAGATTGCCGTGAAGAAAGAAAGGAAAAATATGAGAAGAGCTGCGTTTGTGAGAGTAAGAATTAGCTGCTGCCAGAAGCCCTTGCTTCCCACCAGAGGAGGTTGATTTGCTCACCTTTAGGTTCTCTACCCACAGCTGATAGGCATGCATGCTACCTGGGAAAGGAAGGGATATAGATGAGTATGTGTATCTCAGCCTGCACTCGAGCCCTCAGAGAGGCTGGAGTGGGAACTGTATATTCAGAGAAACTTTATATATCTGCCACCCGTATTTAGCAGGTAGATGTGGACATGTCCTTTGGCTAAATAGGTCCTCTGTGTTTCAAAGCTACGCCTCTTTTGGTGGGCGCCCACTCAGAGGAGGCAGGGAAGGGAAGCCAGATCACTGACTCCGAGTGAGTGCCTGCCGGAGGAGGCGAGGCTTGGAAGCGCCAGACACATGCTTGGCCAAAGGACAAATTGGCATGAACCGCTGAACCAGCAGTTTGTGCCCATCTCTAGTTGCAGGGATTCAGCAACCTCTGAAGAGCTGGGCAACTTGGAACACATTCTTTTCAGAAAAAGTTGTGATCTAGTTGGAAAATTCAGACTCTAAACGTAGAGGTCTTATAGCCGGGGTCCCCAACCCTTGGCCTGCGGAGACAGATATCCCACCCACCCCGCTTGCACTCCCATCCCCACAAATCCCCTTCACGCATGCACGTGAGTGTGTGCGAGCGCCCCCACCCTTTCAAGAGTGTGTGCGAGTGTCCCCGAGTGCCCCCCACTCCTTTGTGCATGTGCGCAATTGTGCCTGAGCGGGTGCCCCGCCTTCCCCAACCAGTCCGTGGAGTTAAAAAGGTTGGGGGCCACTGTCGTATAGAAACCTTGCCCAACTGTTTACAGGGCCAGGCTGCACACTCCAGCTGTCAAGAGCATAGCTCACAATTACCTTCCCGCCCACTTCCTGGCATTCCATGCTTTATACTGGCTTTCTCATTCCTGACAGGTTACAGAAGGGCTCTTATTTTATTTGCCATAACTACTACACAAACACACACAAGCACAATCATGAGTTTGTTTAAGTTCATATTTTTAACTCTCCTATGTCATAGCCCCATTATTTATTTACTTGGGAAATAAGTACACATCTGTAACTAGCTACATACATTCCCTGACAATGTTTTTAAAAATGAAGAAGCCAGGGAGGGAGGGACACTGGAGCAAGCACCACCAGTCCTTATAGGCTCTGCTATGGCACAGATACTGATATGAGGCTTATTCACTGCTGTCACTATCCCTTGCTATTCTCTGGAGTTTCCTTCTGGTGTGAGGTAGCCTGGGTTGTGGGGTCCTGAACTTTAGTTCTGAGGCCTGGCATTCAAGGCACCATTGTGAGCGAAGAGTTAAGATCTGTTGAAGGGACTGTGTCTCCCGGTATCAACAGAAGAGGAAAAGCCTGCCTTCTCAGTTGCTATGAATAAGACAGAGCTTGGAAATATAATTTTTGAGTCCCACAATCCCCCAGGCACCTCAGAATCATTGTAAAAAAGTGACTGTGCTAAGATGGTGGCTCTAATTAGAGGTTTTAGGCTAGGAATGGGCAAGCTCCAGAGTTTATGTGCTATTTTTCTGGCTCAAGGACCCTCAAAAGGCTGCACAAGCCCCTCTGGAAAAGACTAAACGGTCAAGCCAGGTGTTGAAAAATGAATGCCCCCTTTTAAAAAACAAATCTTTTTGCTAAAACAAGGTGGGCAGGAGAGCTATGGCTTATTTTAAAGGAAAATCACACCCTCTAGATTTTTTCATTTGATTGGGGAGGAAAATATGACCCCTTTATTTCTCCGCTCCCAAAATGATTAAAACTACAGTAAATGGCTTTAGTTTCATGCACTCTGCTTGCATGTGTTACATGCACATGCATGGTCGCTCTGTTGCTATCTTCTGTCTGACAGAAGGCCAACTGTGAGCTCATGTGTAAGCCTCCTTGAAAGCTAAAGGAGCTGTTGAGAAAGCTGATCCAAGATCTCAGTATCTCAGATCACAAGACACTCCTCTGTTTCAGCATTTTAAGAGTGGGGACGGAAGTTGAGAGGCCTGCTGACAGGTAACACCCTAGGTATATCAGTAGGAGTTTCCCAATAATTGAAGATAATTTTGTCCCCCTCCTAAAAGCACCAAGTTTGGAGGGCCCAAATGCTGTGAAGGCCATGTGACCAATGACTGTGGTTCCTCACTCAATGCCCTCGTGTCCACTAATCATCACTGAGGTAAACTGGGTTCTTCATTACCTGGAGAGAGGGTTCGGATGATCTCCTGTTCAAAGAGGTCAGAGAAGTCCTCCCCAGTGTTTAGCCTCTCCAGGCGATCCTCAATGAACTGTTAACATTGGGGAGACACAAAGACAGGGAGCTGTTAGTAAGTGTGGTTAAGGAGGAGTCCTTTTCCACGGAATATTTCGGAAGCAGCTTAATGTCCTATAGGCCTCATGAAAATTAGTGGGAATTTGATAGAGGTTTTCAAATTACAGGGCAAGCCTTAAAGAGACCACTTTAGAGCATCTTCCAAAGGAAGAAAGAAACAAACCTGAAGACAGAACCGGCCATTGCCCTGTACCCATATCAGCCAACCTCTAGATGGAGTAAATAACCTGGCAGAGGACTCTCGTGGAGTGTAGGCTTCCACACGATCATTTTCCTGTCATCCCAAAACTAATGTGAGATGCTTTGTTTATATGGTGTGTTTAGTTTAGAAGAAGGCTCAATGAGACACAGGTCTACTCTTCTTGGACTGGTAGCCTTTGTATCCCACTCCACAGATCCATGCACAGAAGGGACCGGCTCTCTGCACATAACTGCAACAAGCCTTGTCAGCTACTTTTTTCTGGGATGGATCATTCGTCCTCGTTTGAGAGTGAGCCTCTCAGAAAATAAAGTAACAACTGGAAGGGGAGACTCCTTGACTTAAAAAAACGCTGAACAGCATGGCTTTGAGAGGATATTGGAAGGAGAGGCTGATGAAGGGAGAAACAATGACAACAACAGAAATCTCAAGTGGTTATCAAAGCATAAGAGCCTCTGGTTACAAGAGATTGTGGTGCATTATTTTTATGGTACAATTTACAGGACCGATTTATACGACAGAAGCCAAAGGGCAGAGTTCTGCTTTAAAGAATGTATAATCTAAGTTTAGATCTGGGAAGGGGTGGGGACAGGGGTGCATATGTGGGTGTGTGAAAGGGACAACAAAGGGAAGAGATGGCGAGGTGAGTTTAACAGGCAATGAATCTGGTCAAATGCAGGGACATATAATTAAACTTAATTTTAGTGTGACAAAAGGATGAAGCGGTTATGCCATAAACAGGAGGAACACTGCAGTAGTACCAGAAGGCCCAGTGAGTGGAGATATCATGCAGAATTGTGCGTCACAAGAGTATGCCATTTCCAAGGTAGAAGAATTGTTCACACTCCACCTCATCTTTGTATAATCATCTGCCTGTTGATGCCAGGCTCCATGTCTTTGCAGAAGGGAGATCCACCTCTCAGTCTTTAAGGTGCCCCAAGACTGTTTGTTGGGCATGCAAAGATACTGCAGGAATGGCATGGCACAGAAGGTGGGAAACAGGTGGGATCCTCTTGCAAAGCAATGTCACAATCCATCAGAAGAAACACATACACACTTTTGCTATGTTGGCCACAGAAGCCTAAGGGGGGGGGTCACTAATGATGTAATTATACCTATTAAGAAGGCCAGTAAGTGGTTGAACCTCATGCGCGTGTGTGTGCACGAACACACTCTCACACACAACAGCACAGAGGAGAACTGGAACTTTTTGTTTAAATCAGCAGGGACTTTGAAATTTACCATCTCACTACCCACTGTGTGTATATGTGAAGTTTGAAGATGTTTGCTCAAAGACCTCCTTAGTTCTACCAGCGCATACCTCCTTGAAGAGCTGCAGGTGTACGGCCCGCTGGAGGAAGGCCTGCATGGCGCTGGATCCTTGCTGCAAAAAGCTTTCCTGGCTAAAGGAGATGGGCTGCCCCTGCAAAAGTAGAGGGAGGTGGGGGAGGGAGTAAATGTGACCGGGATGAATAGACACAGCTTGTGAGACATGAGAAGATGCCATAGACATGATGAGCTGAATCGTCAACCCAGTGACAACCACGCCAACTTACTGGGCTAAAAACGAGTGCCTCGCGGTAGCTGCCAAACAGCAGTGCCTGTGCTCTGAGGAAGGCTCGAGCAACTCCATCTCCGGTGGTCGCCGATTGTTTCTTCAATTGGAACTTCAAGAGAGAGACCTGAGCAGAGGGAGGAGAACAGAAGATCATTCTCAGTCCACAGACAAAACCACAAAAAGGATGTCCCTATCACAGTTCCATACCCAGACACTCCAACCCAGCCTCAGAAGCATGAGGCCCATTATCATGATTTGTTTGGCTGGTGTGCAATGAAAAACTAGCATTATGAACCTCCTCCTGAATTTTTTGTTCAACTCTTCCATTTCCCTCTTTGTACTGTGTCAAAATTAAGGCTGGGGCTGCCTTCTCTTTTTTATGGACACATAAGCTGCTTAAAGAGCCTTCGCAAGCATAACGTGGAGTATAAATGCAATATATCAGGGACAAGTAACTTGTGTCTTACAAGATATTTCTGGACTACAGTTCCTAGGAGCCCTAAGCATTGCAGCCAATGGTTAAAAAATGATACAAATTTGGTCCAGTGATAATTGGAGTGTCACAAGCTGCCTACCCATGCAATAAGTGAATACGTTATCAATTAGGAGTGACACTAATGGAATCATTTGGTGGTCTAAGTCTCCAGCAAGAGTTCACAAGTGTGTGTGTGCACACACATGTCACACCCACTTCTGTGCTAGTCATTTGTGGCCTAAAGAGAAAGGAGAAGATTTTATTTGGGGGGGAAGCTTTTCAATCTGACTACATAGAGATGACTAACATGAGGGATGACGTGAAATCATTGGCATGCAAAGATCTTGGGTTTAATATCTGGCATTTCCTGACGGGGGTGGAAAGATTCCTGTGTCAAATCCCTGGTAGACAGACAGTACAAGAGCTAGATGGGACGAAGGTCTAACTGACAGCACAGTTGCACTAGGAAAAAAATTGTGTGTGCGTGCGTGTGCATGCACACACATGTACACACCTGCATCTCCCTCCTTGGCAAGCCTAGACAATAATGTCTCTGGTCACTTTCAGGCCCAGCCCCTGTCTGTCTCCTTGTGCATAAGAGCGCCTGCAGAAATCCTGTGTTTTCTTTTATCTTTCTTTCTTTTCCTATCTGACATTCTGTTCTAGTGCTATGCCAGATGGCAAGAAATACAAAATAAAACAAAATAAAAACACCTCAGCAGTTAGTGACTGTGAGAGGCAGTCAGCATGAGGGCAAGCGAGTGCAGGACAAAGTCTCAGATACAGTTCTAAAAGTCCATGTAGCCTGATCAACTGATATACAACACACTTAAAAATGGATTAAAAGTTTTCCGAAGAGGAGGCACATGCCAACACAAGAACCATGCGACTATGGTACCATGTGACTTTAAACCGAAATTTTAAAAAAACCCAAATCCATAACCCAATTTATTTTATTAGTGTGACCGTACCCTGAGGCTAGATGCCTCATGTGTTCCCCAGATTAACTTATTATAGGGGATCAACCAATGCTTCAGCCAAGCCCTTCCCAATGTCTGTGTCCATTTCATTAACCACAAATTTGGAGAGGTGGATAGTGATAAATTAACCCATTCTGAAATTTCCCACTAAAGCATGCATATACTCCATGGACTCTGAAAATACTTGCCCTGAGTGACCCAGCTTTCAGTAACAGCTTTACTTTCTATCACAGTTCAGAAAAACTAGAATAACTTTAAAATCATTTTAACTCTCAGAGAAATTCATGGCCAATGAACTGGCCAGTGCCTACTGTTCGCAGGGCACGTATGGCCAATGAACTGGCCAGTGCCTACTGTGGCAGGGCACGATAAGTGCCCTACTGCCCATCTGGAGGCCAACAAGCTTGGGAAGGCTGACATGAGGGCTGTATATTCTTTGCTGCCAGGCAAGACAATACTGTACTTCACCCACCCGCTCACCCAGTCACTCACATACACACTCATGCAGAGATCCTACTTAAAAATTAACTCTTGTTTTTACTGTGCTGGTCACTGCAGAAAGTATATTTAAGAACTGATGTTTATTCTCTGCTCCCAGCAGTCAAATGTAACTAGATGGAGTCATGAAGCATATGGAACCTGGAGCATGGGCAGCTATCTTATACTAAAGGTCTGACCACTGCTCCATCTGGACCGGGTCTTTCCAGCTCTGACAGGCAGCAGTTGTGCAGACAAGATGCTTTCCCAGCCCTAACTAGAGCTCTCCAATATTCTTTGATATTCTCTGATCCCCATTCTAGCTATCCCAATGCTGTTTAGAGTCCAAAATCAAATGAGATCAGTATACAGTATTCAGGGTGCTATGGGTGTACATATATAGCTGGCTATATAGCTCACTGAGGGCTGGCTGGATAGCTCAGTGGTTTAGGTCTCTTGCTGTGGAACCAGAGGTTGATTCCCCACTGTGCCTCTCCCGAGGGTAAAGCCAGGCTGTGTGGCCTGGGGCAAGCTGCACACAGTCCCAGGATGACCCCAGAAGAAGGGAATGGTGGATCTGCTTCTGAGAATTCTCTACCTGGGAAACCCTGGAAAGGGTGACGATAAGTCATAATTGACCTGCTAGCACAACATCATCATAGCTCAATGAGAGGAAGTTCCTGACTGCAAAGCCACAGGTTATGGATTAGATTCCCCACTGTGTCTCCTGGAGTATGAGCCAGCCTATCAAATCTCAGGCAAGCTGCCCAGCTCCAAAGCTCCTCCAGAGGAAGGAGATGATAAACCACTTCTGAACACTCCATGCCTAAGAAATCCAGGAAAGGGTTATTTTAAGTCAGATAATCAAGTTGGTGGCAGATCATTATTATCAGTATTATGGTGGCATGTGGGACATGCAGACAGCATGCCCCAAAATGGATTTTCTCAACTTATATAGAACTGCATCCACTGTAAGGGAGCTGCATGAGTCAAAACAATTTATTACATTACTTTGTATAAAATGTAACTAAGCTTGCTCAAAACCAGGTGAAAGCAGCTGAACTGGTTTCTGAGCCATATTTGGAGACCTGTGTCTGAAAAGTGAGTTTAAAAATTACTAATGAACCAGAACTTAATTATGGTTATAAACAAACATTTCACTCCCTATAGCAAAACTGTTCCATAAAACTGTTCGCAGTTTTCCCACATTAGCAAAATATTTCATGAAGGGTAATATTCCAGTTTCTACTTTTGGGGAAATATTTTTGGAAAACAAGGGGACAGGAGAACCTATTTAGAGAGACATAGGTTTGGTGTGTAGCACTCAGAGCTGAGATTCATAGCTATTAAAAAAGAAACATCTCTAGGATACAGTGGTGACAAACCAGAGCAGGAGTGTGGAAAAGAGAGGTGGAAAAGAGAAAGCAGCCTCAGGACACAGAGGAGTCAGACAGACGTCAAGAGACCTGCAGCATTTTAAAGGCTGATGAAAGCAATACTAACTACATCACTGGGGAGGTTTTCCAGGTCTTGGAAGGGTGATTCCATCGTGTTGTTGTCAATGTTGAGAATAACGACATCTTCCAGAGCCTTGCTCCTCACTCTCTAGGGGAAACCCAAGACAGCATTGAGAAACAGACAGGACCTCTGCTTTCTTGTTTTCCCTTCTGAAGCCTCTGCCAACCAGACCCAGCAACTACATCGGATTGGTCACTATTCCCAGGGCACCCTCTTTTGCAATACCCACTTGTTGCAGTCAAGGTTATATTAGAAACTGAAAAGATGGGTGGGACCAAAGCACCATGTGCTCAAAACTGTCTGCGTAAAAGCATCTGCTCATTAGTCCCCTATGACTTCGCATTCTGCAAGACCTAACCCAACAATGCCAACCCAAGGATGGCCAACATAAATCTATAAGGAAACGCATGCAGCTGCTTGCCCAGACAGCATTTTAAGAGATGTCAGTCTGAAAAGAAACTCTTTTCCATGCCAACCCCCAAAATCCTTTGCAATGACATTGTTAAGGCTTGAGCCCATATCTTGGTTTTGGTGGCACAGTTGCTTAGAAGCTGCAAAATGCACTGAATAATTGTTCATTAAAGAGAGCAGAAGGGAAGATTCAGACATGGTCCTGTGTGAGCCCTTGCTTCTGCACACTTTGGTGATGTTTGTACAAGAGAAATTCCCAGAGGATTCTTAATTAGTGAGAGAGAGAAAATTTGCCATTTTAATTTTTTTCAAGCTTCCAAATTTTGTTGGGCTAACTTGGTTCTAGTTACACCCAATAAAACAATACATTAGGAATATGAAATGCAGAACAAACTGATAACACTATGCAACTGGTCCTGCAACTGATCTCAAAATGGCAGCTACTCTAAGTAGCAAAGCTGGACCTCCCCAGAACTCCTGACCTCTATGCAGCTGCTCACAGAAGACTTCACTTCGTGCTATTGTTATCTCGATGATGCCCACACCCTCCACCTTAAGAACAGGACTTTGTTACAGTCTCATGAGATCGAGGGGTAGCATCCGTTTGCACACTCACCTCCATGAGGCTGGTGTGGATTCCTATGAGGTACGGCATGGGGGCACTGGAAAGGAAAGGAAAGCGAGTCACAGCAGGCTCCATGATTTGGAGGCCTTGGGCAAGAGATTATTGGTTGGGTCCTCTTAGCCGCCCTTTGCCCTCAAAATGTGAAAGTGAGAAGCCATGCCCTTAAGAACAACGCACACAAAGGCAACAAGGAGCTCTTAACAGCCTCAAAGGTCTGGAGTCTAGGAACCGGAAAGAAAAGTCCAGTCCTCACTGCTGATGATGCTGGATAGGGAGTGAGGGCAGAGGAGGGGTGGGAGAGGAGGAAGACTTCCCTTTTCTCTCTTTCTGCTCCCCATAATTTCTAGTTCCTCTGGAAAAAGAACTTTACTTGAGCCAGGACTAGACCTTGGAAATTTTGACCAAAATCCTGTTGTGCAGTTATGCAAATGGAGTAACTTTTATCATTGAACTGCTGTAAGAAATCTCTGTTTGCACAGCTCAGTGTGCAATAGGTAATGGCCACAAAGACTTCTAAAATGATGGCAACTATTTGCATAATTGCACAACAGGCTTTTTTTGCCTTTTCTTTTCTTTTTTCTTCTTCAATTACACCTCCAGAAGTCCCCATCTGGTCATCCTGGAAGAGAGATTCTGGGAACTGAAATCCAAGAAGTAAATTTTCCAAGCTCTGGCCAAGGCACACTTCAAGAATTCATATCTGTGCCAGGGCGTGGTGCCCATCTCTTCAGAATATGAAGAACTGGAATAAAAAAGACAGGATGTGCGTCTACGGAGGGTGCCTTTCCTTCATCACTGAGGCTGCTCCCAGTTTATTGTGGAATTGCCATGGTTCATCCTCGTACATTTTACAGGGAATTTGTTTCTGTTTTTTGAAGCCTGCATTTTAAATGCAAAGACTAGTCTAGTTTAATTCTTAATAGCAAATGTGGGCTTAATTTACCATGTCAGCTAAGCTTCTTCATGTTTCCCCCTCACCAATATGTCTTTATCAGCTTCCAACATCCTTGGATGCCCTGTGTCTACCAACTTTTACTATTTCTCAATACGGAAACCCAAATAACTTCTACACAGAAGCCTCCTCATGCTGGAAGCCAGAAGACACAATGCTTATACTTCATCTTTTTTTCTGAAGAGATTTCCTAAGTTAAAGAGGGAGGCTAGGAATGGTGGAGAGGGAAGATTTTCTGTGGAAGACAACATCTTCTGAAACCCCCCATGAAGACAATGACATGATCAAAACCTTGTCTGGAAACCTCTTCCAGTTTCCAAGGGAGACATGTAGTCACTTACCAGCAATAGTCCAGGAGGTGTGAGGGCAATGCAGGGATGTAGATGTGTTGCCAATGCATGGGGTACAGCATGGAGGAAGAGGCCTGCACACAAGCAGTGAGCTGCAGGAAGACACAAGACAGTGTTTCCTTAAAATCTATCAACCCCCATTTGGGAGACAGACTACTAGGGCAACTGACTTGGATTCGCATGTGTCAGACAGGGCAGGAATAAGGAGATTTTGTATATTGGTGGTGCATCGCAGTTTTTTTTTAATACCACACGTTCTTGTTTTAAACCTTCTACCAAGCATTTAAAATGCACAATATTATTGTCCTGTTGCTGGTGGAAGACCATGGCTGAGATGATAATGATCTGCTCAAAGCCATTCAGGCCCAGGGGACTGAGGGCAGAAGTGAAATCTGAATCTAATTTTGGGGGCAAGCCTCTTCCTGCGGTTTTACTAGCAACTCTTTTCTTCCTCTGGCCACGCTTAGAGAAGCAGGCATGGAAATTCTCTCCATGCCTGGAGCCTTAATTTTACCCTTTCCCCCCCTTGACTGCAACTACAAATGAGACTGTGAGTAAATATATATATACATTTTAATATGTTTCTAGAGTAACTTTTATTTCAGAAAGAGATACTTTTGTGTACAGCCATGTACACAAATCTCTCCATGTTTCTGTCCCACCATCACCACCGCTTTATTCTCTGCTAACTAAAGTAATAACCAAATTCCTATAAATCTTTTTACCCCAAACCCCAACACTTAGTGCATCATTAAACTAAAACAGAAAACACAAGGTGTTTTAAAAGCTTCTATTATCACACCACTCACTGATAGATGTGACCAACCCTAGCATTAGACAGAGTAAAACCACCATTTGCAGCAAAAATGTTGCATATTATAAAAGGCGAGAAAGTTCTTAGTCATTTATTTCATTACAGTATTATTGTATTTTTACTGACAGGAATGGGGAAAGACATCTATGGGACTTTGCGCCACAGGTACCAGAATAACTTGGCTGGCTTCAGGTAACACCCACCTTGACTAGGTGGACGGGAGGAGCAGTTTATTTTATTAATAACCTGCCTTTTTCCAACAAAGGGGCCTAAGAAAGTTTACAAAGTATTTAGAAAACAAATGCGGTTAAAATTCAGTGAATCACAATACTAAAAAAGCACTTCAACATATTATATATTAAAACAAGAATTAAAGAAACCAATTTTTAAAAAATTCAGAATAGCTGCAAAAAACGTATCTAAAAAGGTAAAAAGCACATCCTCCTCCTTTAAAACTCTTTCCTTGTCAAGCAGACACTTGCTTAAAGTCTGCCCAAGCAGACGGCTTTTGCTTATTCGTAGATGGGCATCAAGGAGCAGGCTGGCCTAGCTTCCCTGGGGAGGGGGTTCCTCAGCCTGGGAGCAACCACGGAGAAGGCCCTGCCTCATGTCCTCACCTAGCGTGCCTGTGACCGTGGCAAGATGACTGAGAGAAAGGCCTCCCCCTGAAGATTTTAAACATCAGGCAGGCTCCTGTGAGAAAAGGAGCTCACTAGGTAAGACATACTGGGTCTGGATTCTACCCCTTGAGCTCCACAGCCAGAATTTCAGAAGATCTGCATCCCCACACATCTCTCTCTCCCCCCATTCCCTTGCCCTCACCGTGCTCAGCTTGCTGGTGGTAAGCACGATCCGTCGCTCATGAAGCAGGCTCGCATACAGACATAGCATGTTGTTCACATCCACAGCCACCACAAACTCTGTCAGGTTCCTCTGAGGAGAGAAGCCAACACCTCATTATGTCCTTCATAGCTGAACCAGCATCACACACCTTCACCTTCTTCTTCCTTTCGACCTCTACTCTGTTTGATCCATGGTAGAACCCTGCCTTCCGAATCACCTTCCCTCTCCACCCCTTTTCTTACGCACTGCATTTCAGCCGGGGGGGCGGGCAGGCGTTCCTCTGCCTAAAATTGCAGGTACCGATGGATATGTACTGAAATGTAAAAGATTTGAGTTTTGCCATTAAAAAAGAAATGTTTTCCAATGTTAACAGAGCTGCCTGTGGGCATGACTGAGAGACCTCTCTGGGTGTGTCTCCTGAGTCTACTATCCAGGCGTTCATTGGGACTAATGGACAACTTCACGTTTCCTGGTCATCTTTAAATCTAACTTGAAGTGGGCAACCCTTCATAGGGAGGACACTTTCAAACAGAGGACTGTCCTCTACAAAAGAAGACATATGGGGCCACCCAACCACATAGTTGGGTAAACTTAGCAGTTTCAAAAAAGTGGGTTTTGAATGCCTTTTGAGAAAACCAGGCCACTTTGGCCTAAGCTGAGGCCAGACAGACCTGACACAGACGAAAGAAAGCGAGCAATGGATCGTCCAGAAATACAGTTTAGCCACCTGTTACTTGGAGAGACTTGTAATGGATTGTACAATTAATTACTTTTAAAAAATAAAAGTAAGTTCTGACCCTGCCTCTAAAGAATGAACATGAGCTGATGAGCCCCTCTTTCTGTTAGTGTGGGGGTGTGCTTGACTTCCGCCAAGGCACACTTGGGTCCCAGCATCTATTTTCAATGCTAGGCCTCAGCATGGAGGAACATAAGGAAAGCGCCTTCGACACCAAGATAATTCACTGCTGGACTTATGTATTTGTAAAGGAGGAGGCACATTTTTCTTTCCCTTTCCCTTAAAAAAGGAAACGGTGCCCATAAGAACTTCAGCCTCCTACCCCCCACCCAAAAAAGCTCTATGACAGAATCACTATTGCGTGACTTACATTTTCAGGAATGGTGGGCAGCTTGCCTTGGTCCGGAGCAATGAAATAAGCCTGGGAAAAAAAGTGTAGATGATCTTGTCAAGCCAAATGGGTGCACAGCCCTTTGTCAGATCTGCTTTGGTTTGGATTCCTACATTGAGCACGGAGTTGGACCCGATGGCTTTGTTACATACAGCACTGATGTTACCTGTCTGTCATGGGTTTGGAGGGAAAGTTCCATCCTATGGGGAGTGGAAGGCGGGACATCAGGAGGAGGGGCTGTACTGTATATATATGTGGAGCGTGTGTGGAGAAGGAGAGAAGCCGGGAAGAAGAAGCTGGTGTGGGAGTCTGTGTGTCAGACAGGGTACTACTGTGTGTCAGTCAGTACCTACCTGATAGGTTCAGGGGTCTTTATGGGTAGCCAGAACTGATAGGTTCAGGGTCTGTGCTTTATTGTAAAGGTGTTCTGTGTGAACCAAACTGGTGTATGTATGATTGAGACTAAGCCACGTTACTGTACCTTAATCACTTGATCAGTTTATTTTCCCTGTGTGTTATTTAAATAAACCTTATTCCTTTATTTGTTAAAAATCCATCCCTGGTCTGTGTGACTCCTTACAGGGAATGGTTGGTGGCAGCTTAGTGAAAGTGTGGCATATCCCAGTAGGTCTGGGTTTGTCACAGGCTTTATAAGCCCTTTCCAACCCCATCATTCTGTGGTTCTTTGAAAAGGAACGCTAAGAGAAATCTGAGCCCCAGAGGTTACTGGCAGGAGCTGATTGGCAAGACCAGTTATGGCCAATAAAAACACAATTTATCTGTTTACTCAGCTTTTGAATAGAGATGTACAGATTGGCAAGACCAGTTATGGCCAATAAAACCACAATTTATCTGTTTAATCAGCTTTCGAATAGAGTTGCATATATGTGTATATATGTATGTGCATAGGTAACTATGGGGATGATGGTGCTAATTTGATTAGGATCGTAGGAAGCTGCCATATAACAAGTTAGTCTGTTAGTCCATTTAGCCAAGCACTGTCCTATTGACTGGCAACATCTCTCCAGTGTTTCAGGTATGAGTTTTTTTCCAGCCTGCCCAGGAGATATTATGGATTGGATCTCAGAGCTTTTGTATAGAAAGACGTTTTTGGAGCTGTTGCCATGTTATTCTGTGCAAGCATTCAACAAGAAACACAACACAAAACGAAAGCAAAAAAAAAAAGATGCTGTGGCACCTTAAAGACTAGCAGCCATATATTAATGTAAGCTTTCGTGGAACACTGTCTATTTCCTCTGACATTTGAAAACAGAGACTTTATGGTAAAGCATCGATGCAAGACTTTGAGATAAAGGAACAGTGGTGTCTGGTTGCATTTCATACCTAGTAATGATTTATGACCCCTGTTTGGTATTCAGATCTTTCGAAGCTTGGTTCTCTAAACTCAGCAGAACCAAGTTTCAAGAGAACTGAGTACTAAACAGAAGTCTCATATCATTACTGCTTATAGATTCTTTTTTCTTTTCTTTTCTTTTTAATATAGTGAGTATTAAAAATGAGGTTTCTTTCCCCTGCAGTTTGGAACAGTACACCTCCTTTTGCTGCACAGGTAAGCCAATTGTTCCTTAATTGTATTAGTCACCAGGTAAACATTACATTCAGCAAAGAGAAAGGCTAGACAGCTAAGAAGCATTGAATTCAGCAGCAGCAGCATCCAATTTTTGACTCACTGATGCTGTCCCAGGGCCCAGAGACTGGCTCCCATCCTGCCTGTTCAGATGCTTCTCTGTTGAAATTGTCAATCTGGTCACTTTGGGGTCCTTGCAAGACAAGATACAATACAGTACTGTACGTAGTTACAAAGGAAGCCATAAGGTTGGGAAGGAGCAAGAATCCCAGGGGGCAAAAGGCCCAGGAATGTAATTAATAAACCAAGACCTTCGTTTACAGATTCTCAATGATAATCCTAAATTTTCCATTTGCAAAGTTTTAAGTTCTGCCAGTCTCTTGTAATGGGAAAGAACAAATAGCTACGTGGTGCTTTAAAGAACGACATATATATTATGTGCTGGAATCTAGACTCTCAGGTTTCCAGTAAAAGGGAAGGGAGAATTTACTTGCCAAAATGGAGGAAAGTGAGTGTCTCTAGGGGGTAAAATCTGATGCTACTGGTGCACCTCAAATGGATCCTTTGTAATGGAACTTCAGGTTAACTATCGATTCTCCCCCTCCCAGAAGTCCTCTAGTGCCCAGCCTGATGAATAATGCTCACAGAGGGGGAACCACACAAAGAAACAAAATATTGTGGTTTCTTTCAGATTAAGAGATTTATTTCATTGTGAGCTTATTCTGCATTATACTGTACTCCACTTTCTCTGATGACGGGACTGAGATCTGCTTGCTTAGCATAGCAGTTGCAACTTGAGTAGGCCCATTGAATCCACGGAACTTACAGAAGAGTTGACTCACCAAATCCCCATTGATTCAATAGGCCTATTCTAGTTGTGACTTACTAGACTCAGCAGCAACAGGGTTTCAGCCACGAAGAACTGTACAATATTCAGGCAAGTCCTAACGGGCACCAGGACGAGAATTTCTCCTGTTGCATATTTCAACTTCCTGGGTTTGAAGTAAGGGAAGAAATAATTAAATCCTCTCACAAACTTCTGTGATCCTGCTGATTAATGTCATTTCCCAAACTTCCCAAACTCTACTTTTTGTTGTTGTCTCCACAGATCCATGGGGACCCTATGAATAAGTGACCTCCAAAATGTCCTGTCCTTGGCAGCCCTGTTCAGCTCTCATAAACTCTACCTACAGTTCATCTTTAAAAATCTGCATAATAAATGCAAAGTATTTAAGATCAAGCTTTGTTTGTTTTCTTGCTGGTATGTATATTGGCTTTTAGAGAACTCAGTTGTTTCCATTGGTGTATGGTGGTGCAAGAAATAGCTGCACCGGTTGAACTACAGCCTCCCAAACAACCGTTGAATGCAATTTCAGAAAAATACCTTCTACCCTGGTGACAAAAAAAATATATAATTGTCTTAATGATATTTGTGGATGTCTTCAGGGTCTAGCATGCAGGTGGCAGTAGATATTCCCACATCAGG